AGGCTGGGGATTTAGCTCAGCGGCATAAGCATCTGCCTTGCAAGTGCGCAGTCCTGAGTTGGATCCCCGGTACCAAAAACAAACAAGCAAAAAAGACCATGAAATAAACATTTTGGATTGATTCAAGGTAAATAAAGATACTAGTAAAAATATAGCCATGAGAGGAACTGATATGAGGACGTTATAGGAAGATAATTAGCACGATGCCTCTACAAGTCAAGGGGTTGCCAGGATACTCCTTTTGGATAGAAAGAGGAAAGGCAAGATTCCCACGAAGACTTCAGAAAGCACAGCCTTGCCAGTACCTTGACTTTTTGAAAATTCCTAACCGAGAAACATTAATACTATAAATTGCTGTTGCGTTAAACCACATCAGCGTTAGGAAATTAATACAGTGGGCAAGGGACTTGAATACAAATTAGTACAAAACACACAAACAGTAACAATCCTATGAAAAGATATTCAGTGCTGTTAGTTTTTACGGAAATGTATCAGAGTCACAATAAGATACCCCTTCACAAAGTTCAGAATAGCCATAAATTAAGGAAAAGTGAAATAACATTGGAGAGTGTAGAGGAATTGGTGCCTTTAAACATTGTTTGTTGGAATGTGAATCTGCTTCTTTGGTAATTTAGTGGTTCACAAAAAATCAAAGTAGACTTCCCCTGCAATCCAGTAATTCCACTCCTGTGTGTGTACCTGGGAAACTGAAAACAGGACATTTAACTTGAAAACCTGTGTACACATGTGGAGCTATTTATCATTTCCTACAAGTAACACAACTCCAATGTTCATCAGTTGGTGAATGGATAAACAAAATTGGTGTATCCAGACAGTAGATTATTCAGCCGTAAAAAGGAATAGTCCTGATACACTTTGTATACCTTGAGTGAACATGAAAACATGCTAAGTGAAAAAAAGCCAAACAAAAAATTACATGGTTTATAATCCCTTCCATATACCTCGAATAAGAAAATCCATAGACCAAAATCTGATTAGTGAGTAAATTAGCTCAGAAAAGTAACTTACAAGAAGAAAGATTTTAGTTAGTTTTCAGAACTTCCAGTCCACAGCCAGCTTCCTCCATTGCCTTATGCCCTTGGCAAGACAAAACATGCCAGAGGATGTGGGGGAAGAAACTGCACCTTGTAGCAGTTTGGGGGAATAGCAGGGTGAGGGAATAGTGCTGGGGACAAAATGCACCCTTCAGAGATCACCGACACCGTGATCCGCTTCATCTAGTGAGCCTTAATTCAGCTAATGGACTGATCAGTGGATCCACGAGGTCGTTGTCTGCATGATCAAATCACATTCCCAAGCCTCACTGTTGAACACACAAGCCTTTGTGGGGACATTTTTGAGATTCAGACTATAACGGACTATAATGGACTATAACGGACTATAAGGGACTGCTTACTGGTTTGAAGGTTTCCTTTGGAGTGATGAAAATATTCTGGAACTAAACAGTGGGGGTTATTGTACAATGATGTGAATATACTAGTACCACTCCATAGTATTCATTAGAGATCAGTTTTATGTTAGATATATTTTACCACTACTACATTATACATACAACAGTCTTCTCTGTATTTGATTCCAAATTAGTTTCATCATGACTGAAGTTGTAGATTTACAGGTATAAAGTTTGTAATGATAAAAAAATATCAAGGAACAAGACATTGCTCCTGAATGTGTATTTTTCCACCCATATTATCCTTGTATAGATTTATTAGTATAGCTGGCAAGAGGAAATGGGCAGAAAGCAAGATAAATACATATAGAAAAAGGCAATCAAATTAGAGAATGAGGTTAATAATTTCTAATTCTGACATTTGTCTATGTAGGTTTTAAGTATACCAAGTTGTTTGATTAATTCACTGTTTTTCAAAAGCAGAGTGGTTCCAAGATGACACATTTTGCTTGTCACTGTGGTACAGGGGAGTAGTTGTGAAAAATGTCTTTAACTGATGCTTGCTCTGAGATCAGTGGCTTTCCAGCTGATTACAAAAAAGATCCAGCCCTATTTTAGAACTTTTTAGAAAAAAATTCCTATTTCAGTTTTGCCTGTTATCATGTAACTACATTTTTGTTCTGTGACTTCTGAGGGAAGACATACTTCTAGCATCAACATGTTTTTTGGTTTCTCTTATAAAAGGATGAATATCCTAAAACAGAGTAATCGCATGGCTTTCTACTCCTATGGGAGAGAAAACTGTTGGGTATTGAGGGAATACTATTTATGAAGCATATTTGCAGTACTTACTGGTATCAAATATGCCATCTTTAAATTTCAGATCTAGGTCTTCTCAAAATATACACTTTAAATTTTTTATTTGTCCAGATAATCTTAAATTTCAAAATAGCAAGCTTTTAAAGTCTTCACTGAATACCAATATTTAGTTTTATAAGAAATATTAAAATTACATAATATTACATACATACGTAGCATACATAGCATAACATTACTATGCTAAAACTTTACATCAATTTTTTTTTTGTTTTCAAATGACTTAGAGAGGTAGTTTTGCTTGATTCCTATGGCTTATCATTGATAATGAACTGTATTATCACTTAGAAGTCAGAACTTTTATCATCAATTATTTTGCATTCTATTTGCAAAATGCATTATGTAAAACCTTCCCTGTATATTATAATTATTTTAAATGATATCTTCCAAAGAGTGTCTGTAAATCTTTTTTGGAAAAGATGATATAACATGAAAAAGATGAGGAAAACTGAGATGCAAATTTTAGTGCAATGTTAACATTCATTTGTTACTGAAAAAGGATCATTTAACTTTGTGTGTTGCTGTTTCTGCCTTTAAAATAGTGTCAGTAGCTAATGTAAGCAAGTTATGGAATCCAAAAAATACATGTTACATGTTTATTCCAGTCTCATAAAGTTCTTTTCCAGCTAGTTTTTCTTTGAAGAACAGAAGACTCAAAGAAGGAGAACTTTTTCTGGCCACTGTTTAGAATGTGGAATAGGGTTAATTTGAGGACTAATCAACTGTTGCTTAAAGTCTCCAACCATAAGTCGTATCAAGAAAGTGGACCAGCACTCCTCAGAACCCAAGGTACCCATATTACTTTCACCTCTTTTGCTTTGTGGTGGGAGGTGGGAGCTGTTACCACACTGTTCCCAAAGATGAAAGGAAAAGCATGATTTGCCTTGATGACTTCACATTATTCCACATTTCACTACTCTCAGTCAGTATTATTCAAAGCAGATCTCATTTGATCATATCTTAGTGCCAGAGTACAGAGCTGTTGAGTAAAATATATACATTTCTAAGTCTGCTGCTTTAATAGCAAGTTAAAAATACAATTCAAGTTTCCACTGTGCTAGATGTTAGGAGGTAAAACAGGAAAGATGTAGTCCCTGACTTCAAGTAGATATAAAGAATTAAACAACAGTATTTGCTTCTCAATGTAGAGCCTAAAATTTATGAAATTTTTGCTTCATTGATTCTGAAAATTGAGCTTCAAATTTAGGTAGCTCAGCCCAAGATGAGAAAGTGCTACCATTACTGGGAACCATTTTACAGTTAATTGTATCTTTTTAGGGCCCTGAGAATAACAGACATTCAGGCTCTAGTATTAGAAATATTCACTAATTAGCATCTTCCATGGCAAAGGACTGAATTCAAACCTTGCCAAAGAAGGAAAACTATCAATGATTTTAAAAATATAAGCATCTTTTCTCTTTTAACTCACTTTCAACATTTATCATCATTATGCCGAACACAATAAATAAGGGGTCAAAAGTAACATTATGCTAATGCAGTAATTTATCTCATTACTTTTTGTTCCAAATACACATGGCTATAATTCTGGATGTTTTATACCATCATTTAGAAATTTTTTGCCTAGATTTTGCACCAAATTGGAAAATACATCTTTCTAAGTATAATTTTTCTTTGTAAAAAGGAATCTATAACTAGCTATGAAAAGAATTGCCTCCGAAATTAAGAGTTTAGGACTAATGTGATTATCTAGCAATGAAATTTACAAGTTATTCTGCTTTAAATTGTTACCTAACAGAAGGAGAAACAAACAAGACATTTAAAAGTTTTCTATTCTTCTGAGTTTACATTAATTCTCTTGGAGTATTGAATCTGAAAGATTATGTCACTATATCATATATATAAACTCTAGTAATATCTCAGTAACAAGACAAGAGTTGAAATATTCTGTTTCAGCTATATTTACATGTATCCTGAGAAAGGTTTAGGAGTAGTCCACCCTTAATCATTATATTTTTCTGCAATGTCTAGCAAAATAATAACTGCATGGAACTTTAGATTGTCTGGAAAGAAACTGTTTAATCAACATGCTTGGAAAAAACTGTTTGCAGCAAGGGTAACCAGTACCTTGGATAGCACCTATGTATTTGGAATACCAAAAGGACAGTGTAGAATTGGGCACTAATCCTACAGACCTCTGATTTTTAAAATTCATGCTGACAGTAAATTTCCAATATTGATTTATAATATTTAGTTAATAATTTAATATTTTATTATAAGGAAAAAAGTGTAAACCACTCAAAACCTGGAATCTTAGTACCCCTTAGAAGACCCTTGAAACAGAGAAAACGAGAATATAAAAAGTAGAAGTAGTGGTACAGACTGTTGGATAGGGACTCCACTTCTTTAGTGATATATAAGTGGGTCTTCTGGAATTGAAGGTTGGTAATAAAAGTCCATGTCGTCAGAAATTATGATATGCTACATTGAGGCCCTTGATGCTGAGGAGATTTGTCCAAAGATCTGCACAAATGCCCTAAATTTCAGCTCACTGTTCATCAGTTTATTAATTGAATTGTGTGCTTTACTGTCTTGTAGGTTTATAAAGGTAAAAAGTGAAACTTGGAAATTTAGTCTGTTTTTGCTTTCAATAAAATGTAAGCAAGAAAGTCATACCAGAAGCACAGAAATCTAAGCCAAAAGGAAGTATGACTAAGAAAAGAGATAGGACTGACAGAAGATGGCAGAGGTGAGGCATTGCGGGAAGGAAATCAAAACAAAATAATTATAAATTGAATTAACCAGATCAAGGAATAGAAAATGAAATCACTGGTAGGGAAAAGTTGAGAATGTCCAGGAATTCCCAAAGGATAAGGAAGACTTAAAAACAGGAAGAACGATAAAAAGAAAAAATATTTAATCAAAAAACAATTGACATTCTTAAGGAAAACAATCAAAAATTAAAATTAAAGCAATACTAGAAATATAAAAGCTTTTCTATACCAAAACCAATCTTGAGTATATAAGATAAAGTGGCTCAAAATATTATAGATTATATAAATATAAATAGCTCCAAGATGTATCTTCATTGCAGTTATTAAATTTCAAAGCTATATATTTTTAAAAGTATGTAACTTGGAAATAAACTAAGTTAGTAAAAAAACAATGGAGAAAAGTTAGTCTCTGTGACTAAATTTTAAGTAGCTAAAGATACTAAAATGGAGACACTTGAGAAATGTAAGGTACGTATAGTGACCCTGGAGTTTTGTGTGCATTTAATGTGCGGCAGCCTTGATTTCTTGCGCTCTCAAAATAAGTCACCCATGTACTTATCACACGCAAAAAAATTGCTCAAAACTATACTTTAATAAACCTTGTCATTAATACAAAGAATCAAAAAACAAAAAGACCCTAAAAGAGTTCAGTGAGTATTGATACGATTGAAATATGGAAGTTTAAACATTGGTATGAATAAGGTAATTAAATTTTTAAAAATCATGAAAGCAACATATTTTAAAGTTTCAGTAAGAACTTTTAAGAATTTCCGGAAACATAACATAATACTATATATCTCTACACTTACATTAAAAATTGAACGAGGAATGAAATTTTTCAGTATACTTTGCATTGTATAAAATTAACTTCGTCTCCAAAGGACGCATAATAATGGCATGTACGTGAAAAGATGATTTTGTTAATCACTGGAAAATGCAGATTAAAACCACTTAGGACTATACTGCTATTAGCATGACTAAATTTAGTACTATTGACTCTACCAACTATTGAAGAAAATACATGCTCATTCACTTTTGGTGGGCATATAAAATGATAAAAACACTTTAAAACACAGTTTGACAGTTACTTAAGAACGTCAGTGAAAAGCCGCTGCACACTGCAGCCCTTCCATCCCTAGGTATTAACCAAGAAGAAGGAAAACATTTATGTTCATAAACACACCACTTACTACCAGCTTTATAACAGCCAGAAATTGGAAATAATTCACATTTCCATCAACAAGGATATCGATAGACACTGGAATACTGTTAAGCAGATAAAGAACTTTTGTTATGCACAATCTCAATTATGTTGATTCATAAAAAATTTTCATTCCACTTATAGAGAATTCCAGAAAGTGCAAACTTATAACAGCAGCAGATCAGCGGGTGTCTGGAGCGGGGTGGAGAGCTGCAGCCAGGCTTTACCAGGAGTCTCGGAAAGCTCCAGAGGTGTGAAGCTATGTGGTGAAACATCCGCTCCTCTTCTTAAGTGCGTGTGTCCTTGTGGCTGAACGATATATCTAGAAAGCCGTGAAAAATGAAATTCCTGTTTCAAAGGACAAAGAAAATGAACTAAGCAAAAGGAAACAGGTTTATCAACACAATGAAAAACAGTCAAGTATGCATAACAACAAAAGTAGTAATATATTATGATGCCATTTTATTTGCCAATTAAGGAACAACTGTTACAAATAAATTACCAAACATAACAAGATTCAGTGGGAGATTTTAACACTTCTATCAATTTTGGACACAGTAGACCAAAAATTATCATATGACACTTCTATATAAAAATATTTCAAATAAGAACAGTCGAAACTATCCACAAAACAGAAAATACCATATTTTACAATGAAATAAAAGTACAATACTATCCTAATGAAAAGTGTTTACAGTAACTTAGTAATATTATAATATAAATATTTCATAATTTCATTTTTTAAAATGTTATGAATAAAAATTATAATTAAGACTTAAATATAAAATTTAGGGAGGTATATGAAAGTTTTAGAATACAATGTTCAGTAAAAATGCATTCTTTATGTTCATTTCTAAAGAAAGATGAAGCAAATCACTAATGCAGTTGAAAAAAAATCAATAAATGCAAAAGGAAACCAGAAAGAACAAAATTAAGCATAACTTTGAAATCTAAATGAGCAAATAAATTGTGAAAATACCAGGTTACAGGTGATAAAAATACAAGTTTTACCAAAACTGTAAGTACAGACAATCTAATAGCTATGATTGTAAAATTTAAATATGCAAATGCAAATCAGTTTACCCATGTAAATCAAAAGTTTATTACTGCACACACAAGATCGATATGAAAAGTAAGCAAATCATAATTTTTCTCTTAGTTGTAACAAAGATATTCAAAAATTGCTTTAATAACTGTTCTGGTACCTCATACTGTGCCTAATTGCTTTTAAGTATTAGTATGTCCAGAAGATATGTAATATGCTTAAAATGCCCTAAAATCAACTGAAGAATTTGGGATAAAGAACTAATTTAAATGGCATCTGGGTATATTACATTTCTCTTTGTCATTTATTCTCAACATACAAACCTCTTTGCTATTTATTAATAATGGTGAATATGGAATTTAAACAAGAATTTCACTTACAAAGGCAACAAAGAACTGTAACAGTTCTAAGCAGTTCCTTTTTAAATTGAAATTGTAATACAATAAATGGAAAGACCTTGTTCATGGAGATTAAACAGTGTGGAGAAATCAGTTATTTATAAATTAATTCCAATGAAAACTACAATTGAATTTTAATGTACTCAAACAATTTTAGAGCATTAATTTTAAATAAAAGTGTCTCAGATAACAAGATCAGTACAATCTTGAAAATAGAAAGGAACTTGTGAAAATGTTGAATAATTATCCCAAAGTAATGAAATTAGGGTGAGTTTTGTTTTCTTTCACAATAATTGGTTTTGTTGTTGTTTTGTTTTTTAGTTTAAAATGCTTAAGGTCACAGAACTAATTAGTGATACAATAAAGTGTTAGTCATTTCACAAATAACCATTTTTTAGAAAACTGCATTTGGAACCACCACTTCTCAAAATCAAAGCTTGAATAATCTTGCCTGACATATTTGGGATTGAAAAAGTGAAGCGGTAAAGGCAGCAGGTGCTGAGCTGCAGAGAGATGCGCCCTGGTGAAAAGCTGGGGGCAGTGAGTGCTGAAGACTTGGTCACACTGAGGGGAATGCAGTGCCCTCGAGGGGCTGGCTCTCCTGTGTGCTTCCACACTGCCTTAGCAAGGCCAGCAGTGTAAATAAGGAAGGCAGTCTTGGTAGAGGTCACACATTGGGGAAGAAACAAAACAATGACTGTGACGAATCAGAAGGAAAAGACGACATTTAGGATGCTGCTTGTCAGAATAGAATAAAACATGAGAGAGCTTTAAACATAATGGTCTTATAATTTGTTCATCTATAGAGTAGTAATTTCTGGTTTAAGGTAATTAACAGATACGATGGGTGCTGGGTTTTTTTAGACAAATTTTCCACCTTTATTTTATATTCTCCCTATCCTTTCAGGAAATGGGAAACAGCAGTGATGAATGTTTTATTCCTTCACTAAGACAGTTACTTGCTTTACTCAGCATTATTACCCTTTAACAATGCAGCTGTCCATTGAACTACATTGGCTCTTGTTTTTTTCATTTTGGACAATATTAAACCAAGAAGTAGTTTCATGATATCTGGGATTCTTTATTCACCAGATCTAGCGCCATGTGACCTCTGGCTCTTGCCCAAAGTCAAAATGACCACAAAAAGTAGACATTATGAATTAATTACAAATATCAAGGCAGCTTTGACATTCCACATAAATGGAAGAGATGTCCCAGAACCACTTCAAGTGGGAAGAAAACTGAGATCAGTGAAAAAGGATTGTTTTGAGAGGGATTATTGGCAGTGCGTCTTTTACTGCAATAAATCTTTAAATATCCACTATGTAAACACAGATAATATCCTGATACAGCTTAGCATGATACTTTTCTAAATAAAAGGATGTGATGCAGCAGATTTTAAAATATTTAAACATATAACGAATAATACACTTCCAGCAGTCTGAACCTGATACTTTCCGAACCTGACTTTCCCCAGTGACAAATCCAAGTCTATTAATTTTTCAAGAAAGGAGCTTGCATATGGACAGAGTACCACAACATCTATGCGTCTTGCCCAAAGTACTGCCTCGTTAACCAGCCGGCTCTGGGGGTTGATGTGACTCTGCATCTTTGTGACCCTGTAGATCACAGAAAACAAAGATGGATGCATCCCCTTGGAAGACTTTCCATAGGACATCAGGGTGCAGGTGGAACATGAGTGAAGGTGTTTGCCACAGTACCGCTTTCTGGCTTAGTACAGAGACAAACTTAGGGAGGTAAATGTCCATATTCAGCTTCTCTCTGAAGACTGAAGAAACTGAAAACATATCTAACACCCCAATGTTTCCAGCTACATATAAATGGTCTAACGTCTACCATACTGTTTTGTGATACTGACTAGATGAAGTACGTCCTAATCCAGCACAGCCGCCTTGAACAGCGGCAGCAGTTTGAACACAGAAAGCACCTCAGATTCTGGATGATGCATTGGTGAAGTCCTTCTCCTACACAAAGTGAGCCTGAAAAAACTGGGAGGGGCTGTTGTCTTATTAAATGCAGAAAACATCCCAGACAATCAAGGAAAATAAAGAGACAAATATGTTGCCTAGGGAAATGGAACTGTGTGATTCGCCTAATAGAGAATTCAAAATAGTGGTCATAACGACACTCACTAAGGTCAGAAAAGGAAAGCAAAAATAAAATTTCAAAAATATAAAAGATACATTTTTAAAGTGGCAAACAAATTACAGGGTAAATAATATTATATCTGAACTGAAAATTTCAAAATTATATGCATAATTAACCAAAACCAGTTTTCTTAAAATGAGGGATTAATAGGAGACATATTCAAAGAATTAATGGCAGAAAATTTCCTAAGCCTAAAGGAGGAAGTAGAAATCCTTTTCCAGGTGACTTAAGAGATAGTAGTCCAAAGAAACCTGCAGTGCAACAAATCATACCTTGTCAGAAATTAAAATCAATAATTTTGAAAACAGCAAGAGTAAGGTAACTTGTTACGTATAATGCAATCTCTTTAAGACTACTAATGGATTTTTTGACAGAAACTTGCAGGGCAAAAGGGAATATGATGATATATTTGGAAACCTGAAAGAAAAAAAAAAAAAAAAAAAAAACCTCATGAAGCATTCTTTAGTATTGATCATTTACTAGACCTTAAAAGTAATCTTAATGAATTTAAAAGTATAGTCTAATCAGATATCTTTACGATCTATACTGAAACAAACCTAGAAATCAGTGGCAGGTGAATGATGAAAACTTCACAAATATTTGGAAATTAAACAGTATGTGCTGCATAACACTAGGTCCAAGAAAAAATTAATAGGCAGGTTTACAAATACCTTAAGACAAACAGAAATGAAAAAAATACACTGAAAGATTTGGAATGTAACAGACGTTCTAAGAGAAAAGCTAATAGCAGTAAATACATATCAGAAAAAAAATCTTAATATTTTACCTCAATTACTAAAAGGGCAAAAAGACTAAGCCCAAAGTTCACATGAGGAAAGAAATAAGTCAAATAAATTGGTAAAACACTAATATTAGTTTTGGGGTTTTTTTAACTGCGTAAAATTCACAAACTATACCTAGACTAAGGTAAAAGAAAAAAGTACTCAAAATCAGTAATGAAATAAACATATAAGTCCATAAAATGGAAGTCCAAAGGCTCATAAGAAACATCTATAAGCAGTTATATATCAATGATTTATTCACCTAGAGGAAATGGATAAATTTTTAGTGGATAAATTATTAACGGATAAATTATAAATTAACATAACCTGTTAAGATTGAGTCACAAGGAAATTGGAAATATTTAAAAACCAGTGATGAGAAAGGAGTTTTAAATGTTTACTTAAAAAATCTCTCATTAAAGAAAATCCCAGTGTCTGGTGAGTTCACTGCTGAATTCTGCAGTGCATGAAGGAAAACACCAGTCCTCAGCATCTTCCCAAAGTTAAAGAGAAGGAAGTTCTACCAGACTCATTTACCCTTAATACCAAAGCCAAACGAAAACACTGCAGGAAAAGCAAAGCCCACAGATTCCTGGTAAATAATGCAAAAATCCTCAACAAAATACCAGGAAACAAATATACAAATCAATAAATGCAAATGACATATTAACAGAATAAAGGAAACTATCATTTGATCATTATAAAAAAATGCTGAAAAAGCATTTGACAAAATTCCGTGTTCCATCCCCATTCACTAAATTAAGTAAAGAAGGAAAGTTCCTCAACCTACAAAAATTAAAATGTCTCCCAAAAGTCTCAGGCACTCAGAGGTGGGGCTTTTAAAAGGAAAGGATTATGGGGACAGTTGTTTACAGTAACAGAAAAGCAGACTAATACAGGTGAATAGGAAAAAGATTATGGTCAGAGGGCAAAAGTTTCAGTTAAGAGAAATAGATTCTCATCTATTATAAGTCCAGTGACTATAGTTAATTATAATGCACTGTAGATTTCAAAAAATCATTAAAAATTTTTAAATTTTCTCACCACAAAGAAATAAATGAGGTGATAAATACATTAATTAGCCTGGCTTGATCATTGAAACATTACATTGTACTAATATATATAATTACTATTTATTAATTTAAAAGTATCATTTTACTTTTAAAAAGTAAAATGATAAAGTGGTGTTTTATCCAATAAAAATGAATCTCTAACACTGTTTGGTAAAATGCTATTATTTACTATATTAAAACAATTTACCTTCAATGGAAATACTTAACTCTTTACACATTCTTGAAATATGTATAAATGTATTATGTCTGTAGTAATGTAAGCCACTGAGTTCAACAAATTTTGTATCTGATTATTAAATATACAAATTTTTTTAAATTTAAAAAATTCAAATTAAGATAGTAGACCAAGTGCTCACATTTCACACCTCTCAAAAGGCCCAGCCACTTCATTACACACAAGGTAGGCCTTGGTAACAGTGAAAAACAGTCACAACAGATTTTATGATGCCATTCCAATGAAATAGTGCAGTACAAAACATAACTAAGAAAATTTACATAAATGGAAAACATTCGTCTTTAAAGTGGTCTGTACAAAGACAGTTGTACCTTTAGAGAAAAAGATTTTAATGTAGCTTTAGAATGAAAGGTAAGATAATGTGGATGTTAAAACGGAGAAATATTTCAGAGGCTTATAAGAGCAACAGTTTGTTTTTTGGAGGCAGAAAAAAGATGGTAGGATGCGTTTTTAATTCCTTCCATCCCCAACATGCGTGCAGTTGAGGCACACCATAACCCAGGTAAAGGCAGACAGAAGTGGAATGAGACCGAAAAGTGGTGCAGCTCAATGAATTTGGGTCGTTAAAGTTAAAAAATGATTTTCATGCATTTTTTAGTTGATTTGTTTTTGTTCTTTATCTACCTCACCATATTGCATTTTAAGATTTAGAACTTTGGAATTTCCCAGGTACTTAAAGACATATATAGCTATGTTTGCATTTTGTCTTCTGTAGCTTAATTTATAATTTTGATATTGCTGAAGTTAACCTAGCAATTAGTGTTCCAGAAAAATATTTTAGAAGTCATATTTTATACAGATAGTTTTTTCAATGTGGTTTCAAAAGTAATTCTTAACAGTTATTTTTATAATCAGCATCACATATTTTAATTGTAGAATAATAGATCAATGCACTGGTTTAATGATGAAGCAAATTTTTGACAATGAAACTAGATATAAAATACAAAATGTGATGAAAATTCAAAATAGGTGGTCCACGTGTAATCCTTAAACAGATTATATAGTTATCATTGATTATGTTTTCTGTAGTGTTTGGGTCAACCTTGTAAAAACTATCAAGAAATACATTTGGAGAACTCTATGATGCCAGTGAAAATGTTTCATAGAATAATGATACCAATACCAGTCACTATGGTACATTTTCTTACAACTAGTTACTTCTTTTTACTGTGATAAATGTTCCCCAAAATTAGAATTTAATACTTTCATCTCCTATATATTAGATCTTAACACACAAAAAAATCAGTCTGACTGCAATATATCTACTGCTAGATTGCTCATTCCCGTTTGGAACCTGCTTCCCAGAGTTAATATTAAAAACACAATTCACAGAACAGCTAACAATAATATATTGTGTATTTTTAAAAAACAGCAAAAAGTTTTTTGAAAATTTTCATCCTAAAGAATTGATAAATGTAGAGATAAATATGTTCAACATCATTAAAAATCATGCAATGTTTGCAGATATTTAATATTTATTACATAGTACTCCAATAGTGTGTCTACTTTTAATGTCTTGATGTCAAAGACAAATTTTTAATGATTACTAATTTTTAAAATTATTCTTACAACTAGTTACTTCACCTTTTCTAAATTCTCTAAATAATAATATTCTCTAAATTTATTCAACTTTAGGGAAAAAAAGTTCACATAATTTCTTTGCAGTTTTCAAAGAATTAATATGTCCAGCTTGAGCTTAGAGGCACAGTCCCTAACATTTCTTAAGAAATGTCTCACTTTACGATTTGTAGAGCTGAAAGGAGTTGTGGGGTCATAATAGGCAAATTATTGTTCCTTAAGAGATCCTACTCTTATTAGCAGAGAATATTCAGAAGTATGTGCCTTTCAAAGGAATGTTTCAAACTTCTTGAACTCTTCCCTGTCTATTCTGCCCTCTCTCTTGCTTACAACAGACCATGACTCTGAGGATTTTTGAAAACCAGTCAACAATATTTGGAAGAAAATTCCAAGTTAAAAGATATGTTTATACATTGGTGAGTAGCTAATCTGTTACACTAATGTCTACGTGAGAATATAGGCATTCTGGGTTGTTTGTGGGGGGAGTGAGTACTTATTGAAGAAGTATATTTTAATGCTGGTTAAAAGAAAATGAAAGATTAATGGAAACAAGGTCTTCATCCAGACTGCTTAGCTGGGAGTTAGTAGAACATCCATGATGAGCACATCAGGTAGAAGGTTTCTCTCTCCGAGGGCTGCTACTTAATCAGTCTCTTATTTCAAACAGAGTGCCAAGACTGCTGTAGGCTCTCAGAGTACAGGACTTACTGACAGTGATGTGTCGCTGAGAGTAGAAACATCCCCATCACTTAGAGTAAATAGGTAAGTTGGAAAGCCACTCTCCTAGTAATGAGGGTGAGGGGCCAGAGAGAAGTTACTGTTGGTGTTTCCACAATTCTCAGCCTTTTGGGAATACAAGAGGAAGTCTCACTAGCAGGTGTTAGATTTTCAGGAAATTAAGCAGATGGCTTTGGCAAACTGTGCCTCCGCTACTGCTCTGCCAGGAAATTCTACCGCCAGGCGTAGCTTCACATATGCTCTGAGAAGTCCTGCCATTTGAAGCAAACAACCAGTGTTGTCATTGCAGAACCATGAGGAAATCACACCATCCACATTTCCCCAGTGTTAGGCAAAGCCATTTTGTTTTCTGTGTCACTCATGACCTGTCATGGTAGGTTCCGCATCAGGTTCATCATGTCACCGGCTCACAGGAAGAAAGTGAGTCCTTCACACTGACTGCAGAGGTCAGCTATCAGAAAACAAAGCTGGTATCCTCTGTCACTACACGAGCAAGAATAGCGTAGCCTCATATATCTGCACAAGGAAATAACAGAAGATAGCATTTTCAAGAATAGTGTTTCATGTTGTCTAAACCCACTCCATGTTGGTAACATTGTGTTTGTCTTTTAATCATAGGTTCATTTGATTTATCAGCCAGTCTTAAGAGACACCTCACAAGTTTTGCAGAAGATCTCACACAGATGCTTAATTAAGGCCATTAACATAATGAAGCCATGAAATATTATGACTTGAAAGGATTAACAACATTTCGATCATCCTGACAAAAATAAACAAAATAAAAATTCCTGTGACTGTGTCTATTATTTGCATGTGAACATTTATGTATTTGAAATATAATTAATTTTAAATCTATTACAATAAGCAAAAATGTATGTATTCAACAAAGATATTCTATTTACCATAAGGCTAGCTCTATAAAATGCATTTGGGTTACAGTAAGAAACAAGACAGACCACAATCCCTGCTCCCAACAACCTTTAAAATGACAAAGACAAAGATACATGTATCGCAATGAAAAAAATAATTATTGTTCTCTGTGAGTACATGAGGTCTCCTAACCATAAGCAAGGCAGAGGTACTGACAGAATGTCTTGTGATACTTAAAGAATCACAGGAATTCACTGTACAAATCACAAAATGGTAGAACTTGTAGAAAGCTGATCTTCAAAAGAATCAAGATACAGCTCAGGGTATAAAATTAGTTCATTAAGGCTGAGATACCATGAGTAAGAAGAGAAGGAGGCAACATCCTCTGGGGTCTGGAAAGCCTTCTAAGACGTGATCACCCTTCAGCAAGCCAGGTTTTTAAGGAAGGAGTGGCCTAATAAGATTTGTATTTTTAAAATGGCACTCTGACCACCATGCTGAGAGTAGATTGCTTTGGTACAGGGCTGGAGAAAGTTTGGTACTCGAGGCCAAAAAGTGAAGATGAAACCAGGGAACTGGATGTGGGAATGGAAAAAGATTTTTTTTCTTAAAAATGCACATTTCTCCAGTAAATATTTCATAAGAATTACCAGCTGAATCACCATTGTGTGTGTGCTATGTTCTTTGCCTACTTGACACTATTGTTACTAATGTAATAACTTAAAAAAGAAAAGCAAAAAAAGTAAAGATAGCATGCATCCTGGATCACCAGCTTCCCAGCTCATTAAGTGTGGTGACACAGGCATATGGACTCTCACATGATACACAATCAAGTTTGTCTTTAAAATGTGTTATTTTTCTAATGGTTAACAGTAGTGATGCTAACATTTATGCACAAAAATAATAGTGGAAATTATCCTTTCTGATGGTTTTACAACATGCTGTGGGATTTGGCTGGGGCTTGGGCTCCAGTACAGAGGATTAAATCCAGGGTGTTCAGAGCAGGCAACATCTCCAGACCTATTTAATTTCTGAAACAGGTCCTCACTAATTAATTAGTTTACCCAGACCAACCTCAAACTTGTGATCCTCCTACCTCAGCATCTGTGATGTTAATGTACCTGCATAGGTTTAGCTGTGTGACTGACATTCATATTGGCTTCACACAGAATAGTGGTCATTTAATCCAACTGCTGTTTTGATACCAGAGCCAGGCAGGGTACCATTTAGAGCAATACCGTTCTGCTATTGGCCAGCTCTGTTGGAATTTTCCTATCAGGCCTAGGTTTCTAGTTTTCTGATACATTTTGCAACATTGTTAATGCTGAAACACAAAACCATTTTCTTTCTTATACAGAATGAATAATTGAACATAAAAACTTTAAAAGTTCATATAAATTGCCTAACACATTTTAAAAAGATTTACTATCTCTTGATGAGGCCATGGGTCTCCTGTTCACAATGTCTTTTATCTTCATGACAGGAGAGAGCCCTACTTTACCACCGCTCCAGCTGAAGCTTTTCTTGGTTCATTCCCATCAATTTTATGGCCATCCTTTATCCTCTCCTCTTTTCCAGTGTGAAAACTTGTTTATTAAGGGAGAAAGTAGACTCTGACCTGTGTTTCCATGACATTGCTTTTCATTTCAAGCATATAAAAGGGTACAAATGAGCGAGAGAGCAAGGAGGTTCATGAATTCACCTGTTTCCCAAAATGAATTTATGATTGAGATAACACATGAAATTCCTATAGCACCTACCTTTTTGTAAGGAGTGACTACTCATTACTATCTGTTGAGCCCCTCTGTTGAACCAAATAGTAGTTTGAAAGTTTGCAGTGATGTAGAAATATGTCTGCTCTTACATTCCATGTGAGAAGCAAGTAACACTCAGAAAACTAAAACAAAAATACATGCTCAATTCGTGCCCTGCAGAGAATAAACGTGGGCTGGTTAACTACATTTGTGTGACACTGTTTTGCTAAATAAGATCTACTCAGAATATTGACATGATGCTGATCTTTATGAACTACTCTCTGTTTTGTCCTTATTTTTTCTTAACCATCCCACTTAGGTTTCATTTTACCATATAAAGTTGATGATTCTTTCCAAATATAAGGTTAAGCCTAACGTATTTGTTAGACTAAGTAAAACAGATCAAGATGTAATAAGTATATATACCCTATGATGAGTGTATTATACATTGTAAACATATACTAATAAAAACATTTTATTAAAAAACCTAACATACTTGAATGCACTGGAACATATTGTCAAGAACTATAAATGGTTTGAGATTGCATCCTACATGGAAGCTAACAAACTAGCCTGACACAATGTCTTGGACGAAGATAGACGACATCATTACTCATCAGAGATAAATCACAGTTTATAGTAGCAAGGTATAATCGCCTATTTCTTCTGGTTTCCTGAGAGACACCTTCCAACAGCAGCACAAGGAAAGCCAAGTGATACCTGCATGTGAGTGGGTTGCATTATAGGGGAGGAGCTCTAATATGTAATAAACTTAGTATTTAGAATGGGCAGTGAGCATGTTTCCCCTAGAGAGAAGCATTGCCTTTATTATGCTAAGTGATAAATACTCCTGTCCTTTGCTCTAGAGGGACAGAGTATGTCTACCATGGTTTTGTTTTCTAGACTAAAAGAAATTAGTGTTCTACTCTTAGATGTACAGAAATAAACTGTGCAAAGATGCCGCCCAACAATACCTGCCCCTTATTTTTATACCACGATAGCTTCTGATGATTTTTCCATGAATCTGCAACTCTAACAGCCACCTTATTTAATCTGATTGACAGTGGCTATGACACATCCTTTTAGTTTGTATTACATAGAATTTAATTGAGTTTGCTATCAACAGGACTCCAAATAGCAGTAGTGATCTGAGGGATGACCCTCAGGATCCCACTTCTAACCCAGTTAAACTAATCCCATAAACTATCAGCTTCTGTACTGACCTTTAAACTTAGCTCAAGCCATTAATCTATTCCAGCAGGATATATTAGCATTTGTACATACTCTGCACTGGCCTACAAATGGGAAATATTGGGCAATTCTATGGTCTAACACAACCCTGTCCAGTCAGCTGAAACTGATCTGATTATCTTCCAGGGAAAAGTTGGCATCATTGATCACTTTGGCTAGAGGCAGGGACCAATTTATAGCAATATTTCTAATTGGAAGACTCTCAGTTTACAAATAGTTTTCTGCAGATTGCACATAATTGCCGTGTCAGTTACCCCTCAGGGAAACTCTTTAGATAAGCTACTACAGCCTTATTTTGCAGAGTCCTTGGAGATCACGTGAGAACTCTCTGGCCGCTTCAGATATGTGCAGCATTGTGTTTTCAGACAGAAGGCAAAAAAAAAAAAAAAAAAAAAAAAAAAGCTTAATTTCACACAACAAGCACCCTTCTTGAGAGGCTGGGGGAGGAGCAGGAAAGCATGATTCCTCAGGAAAGAAACTCTTGTTCACATTTGTCAGAGTACCCCAAGAGGGAGCTGTATCAGTTTTGTGCAAGAGTTTCCAGGGCTTCCAATGTGGCTTCACAGCTGTGCTGAGAGCCCTTGCACTTCTGATTCAGTTTGAAACTATGCAGTTCTTTTTGGCAGGGAGGTGTGTTGTTTGATGTCATTAGACCATCCTAGTCATTTCTTTCTTTAATTTTTTTTATTTTAAACATTAAAACAAAAGAGGACAGAACAAAGCAGATCAGAACAATGTAAGCAACACAGTACTTCACCACAAGACAACCCAATATTAACAGTAGCTACCATAATATTTCTTTCTTTGAAATAGTTGAGCATAACTTCACACACAGTATATCAACATAACAAAATAGTATAAAACCACTCCATAGAATGAAAGTATTACAGGGCATTCAGAACCAAATAACCAAAAATGAACAATGGCTACTGTATTTCCTCATTTTCCTAAAAAATTTGTATCCTGTCTTTTCTGTCCAGCTGAGTGGCATTTGTCTGCCTCATAGAATGATCCAAAGTCAGCTGATCAAACTGGAGTAGCTCATCAACCTAAAAGCCTATGAAGAGAAATGAGGCACTACCAGCAGCCCTGAGGTGATCAGTTGAATGTACTGAGTTCCAGAGGCAGTAGACTAGGAAAACACCTCCGGCAACGTGGCCTGCTTCACCTTGGGACTGTAAATAGCCTCAGTTTGGGGTGGAACCTAAGGCGGGCATTAGGGATACACAGGTAGCCCATTGGTCCTAGGTTTGGTGCCATATGTAAATTTCCAGGGGCGGGAAGATGGTGTCACAGGTAACTTCCTAGGGGCGGGGAGATGAGGCTTCCTGCTTCCGGTTGTGGCTTTCCTGGCTTCAGTGTCCTATCTGGGCCAAAACCCTTTCACTCACAGGTGGTGATTTGTGGGTTAACTCATATAAAGGAACAAGGAAAATGCCCAAGAAGCGCTTTCTGTCTTTAGTTCTTGAAGAGTCCAGTGAGCTGTTAGGTCACCTTTTGGTGTTGGGATTTGAAAATAGAGCAGTTTTTCCTCAACAGTCAGAAGGCTTGAGCTTTGTGAATCAACCCACATAGTTCTGTTACAGGCAGCTGAGCTAGTTAGAAATATTATAAGCAGTCAGACAGGGCTGGGCCCTCAAAGAAGCTGGCACAGAGGACCAGATGTCTGGTGAACTTGAAGGGGACACACACCTCTTGCTGTGGGCCAGATCTCAGGACAGAAGGCAAAACAAATGCGGCCACACCCTTAGGTGTAGTCCTTGGGGATTAAATATGGATCACTTTGAGAAGCCAAGAGTCACCACCCCAACCCTCCTTTAGGAAGAGTCACTGATCTCCTATGTCAGTTCCTGGAAATGTGACTCAGTGAGCAGTCCTCTGCAAAGTTTCAATGTGTAGCAGTTACACCTACTG